CTCCTGGGCTCAAGCGATCCTCCTGCCTCAGCCTCCCGAGTAGCTGGGACTACAGGCATGCGCCACCGTGCCCGGCTAATTTTTCTATATATTTTTAGTTGTCCAGCTAATTTCTTTCTATTTTTAGTAGAGACGGGGTCTCGCTATGTTGCTCAGGCTGGTCTCGAACTCCTGACCTCGAGCGATCCTCCTGCCTCGGCGTCCCAGAGTGCTGGGATGACAGGCGTGAGCCACCGCGCCTGGCCCGGGTCTAGCCATTCCAAGTGAGATACAGCAACTTCAATGGGCCTACGTCACGGCTCCGTGAACCTGTCTTCCTCCGGATCCTGGGCCTCGCGGTGATCAAAGGCAAGAATGCCATCGGATTCATCTCCTCCCCAGCACTGAAAACTAGGCCACCGGACACACAACGGGCTCTTTGCAAAATTATCTGTCGGGTCCAGCCCTTGCATGAAAATACCTCTCCATGCCATCTCCGATAAGCTCTTCTCCATCCTCCTCCTCCTCCAGGGGCCCCTGTGTGCCTAGGAGCCCCTCAGACTCGTCCTCAAAGGGAGGAAGGTCACGGCCAGGGCTGGAGGTCAGGCCATCGAGGTGCCGAGAGCTCCGGCCAGGGCTGGAGGTGAGGGGATCAGTGCTCTGCCGACGGGGCTGGGCTGGGCTGGAAGCCATGATGAAGGAGTCAGGTGATTCCTGCAAGAGAAGTTGCTGCTGTCAAACACTTAGGAAGGGCGTGAGGACTGACTTAGCCTCCTTTTTATTATAAGGTGGCCTTCCCTCCGGCCTCCCTCTCCAGCACTGACTCTGCCCTCCAACACAGCAAACCCCTTCCAGCCTCAGGACCTTTGCACTTGCTGTTCCTCCAGCCCGGAACGCTCTCAGCTCAGCTCTCTGAGCCAATGGCTCTGCGACCCACGGGAGAAAGCTCAAAAATATCCTTTCCTCAGAATACTCCAGGTCACGCACATCACCCTGCGCTTCCTCCATCAAAATCACTGGAGGCTGTGTCATCTGTTTATTTACCTGTCTGCCATCCATTTTCTCCCCCTTGATAAGGAAAACCCCCATCTATCACTTAGTGCATTAGCCACCGGAGACCCCCACCCCCTCACGGAAGACCCGAATCAGCATGATACT